CCATATACTGTAAATAGATATCCAACAATAGACATAATCAAGTTAATTTATCTCAGTCTTCATTTAATAAAGTTTTTAGAATTTAATTGCAATACATTATAACGCTATCTATTTTAGTCCTATTCCTGAGTTAAGTTTTATAATAAGTTGTTATAAATTATGTTAAAATAAATTCTAAACTGACATTTCGGACAATAACTTATTGGTTATAAATGATTACATAAAATAATAAATCATTGTTAGATCTTAATTAACAAAAATTTATACGTTTGTCAATATTTACTGAAATTTTGACCGACATTTGTCTTGTTTTTCAAAATCTTATATAAAATTTAATTTGAATTGAGGTCAAAGTCAAAAACTAAAAATTGAAATTAATTTGTGATGCAAACTTGAAATATTGGTATAATATTTATTGCATTCAATTATCAATAAAGTTTTAAAAGCTAACTTAGCATTTAGAGTTAATTTAAAGTTAATTCAAAACTCAAAAACGAGACTATCTTTAGTCTATTCTGTGTTAAAGTACACCAGAATGTAGTTAAACAAACACAAGAGTTTCTTAACCCCTATTCCCTTCAAATGTTTTTAATGTACAAACATTTCACTTCGACTTTTTGAAATCAAAAGCTTGTCTTCAAATTACTAACACTTCACATGAAGTCTACTTTTAGAGAAAAGGGAGGTTTTAGTTGTTAATAAAACATTAGATATTTTAGATATTATACAAAGGTTTAAATTCTAAACTTTTTATAACATAACTAGTATTTAGGATACATTTAATAAAGTGATGCTAAATACAGGATTTGTAAATTCAATTTTATATATCGTTAAAATTGCATCCATTAAATAAACAAATAAAATGTAAATGTTGGCAATCTCATTTTAAACAACTTAGTAATAATAAACTATATTTTAATTTCTTTACAAATATTGCTTTATTACAATTTGTCTTACATTCAAATAATAAAGATTATTATTATAACAGAAAAATATTATTCACTGATTCGTTATCATTTTCACATATATTTTATTAGTTTTTATAATAATTTACTCATTTAAAGGCTCATTAAATCTTAGAAACCACACATTACTATGACAGTCAATATTTTGACCAACTATTTCTATGTTGCATAATTTAACAGTTTAGATAAATATATGATAATTTTTTAATTATAAAATTATAAATTAATTATTAAATAAATATTCTGTTGTTTAAAAAATAGAAACTTAAAGTTTGAATTTGAATGGAAACCAAACGCGTTGAATATAAAGTATATTTTGCATATTATCATTAATTACAAAGTACTATACAATTCTCAGAAATCATGAAATTAAAACTCAAATGTTGATGACTTGTGCCTTATTAATGTAATAATCAATAAAATTAACGTCAAATTAAAAGTTATATATTTTATTTGCTTTACATTTATAAATTAACGTATAATATGTTTGATATATAAAATGGGAAATAATTATTAAATAATTAATATCATCCGCTCTAATGACCGAATAGTCAACTATTATAGTATAACATCCGAAACAACTAAAGTTTTGTTATACTGTATAAAACTTTTGATTAAATTTATATTATACTGCACTGTACTGTACGTCAATTACTTTTTGTACATTTTATACAAAGCATAGTAACATAAGTATAATAACTATAATGAGAACTCAAGACATGATATGGTATGATATGATGTGTGAATCCCTTGTTTTATGGTTAACCGATTGAAAGGCACTGCAAATGACTGTCCGGAGGGCTAAACAACCCATTCATTTATATGGAGCAAAGACCCCATCGATACCTGACTTGTAGTTAATAATAAATAGTTGGCATTTACATCAACTCATGAATAGATAATATGATGAATGCATAATATAAGGCTTATTTGATTCAATTAATTATTCCTCAATCTATGACAAGATTGCAGAGTTTTAATGGCATTAAAGAGATTATAAATGAGGTAACAGTTAAATAGCATTTTGATCATCAAATTGGCTTAACTTTAACACTTGGTTGACACAAATATACATTTTATTGTCAAACTTAACATAAGATTAAATAATGATTTTAAGAGCATTTCATGTCATATAAAATCAATGCATAATTCATTGCCATTCAGTCGTATCGATATACAGTAGTTGTCAAACATATAAGTATTGTTTTACTCATTCAATAATTTATTAAAGTATTTATAAATTTTAATAATTTTGTGGTTTTAGACATAATTATAAATAACAGACATTGAACTCAATATAATTAATCGCAAATAAATATAAGTATTTACTAACCATTATATGAATGACTCAAATGTAGTAAACAAATAAAAAATATAAAAACTTTGAATATTTGACGAAATGATTGACAAATTGGATGAGAATTTATAATTAATCGCAAATAAATATAAGTATTTACTAACCATTATATGAATGACTCAAATGTAGTAAACAAATAAAAAATATAAAAACTTTGAATATTTGACGAAATGATTGACAAATTGGATGAGAATTCACAAGAATTGGTGAATCACTAGTTGTGGCCATTGTTCACATGTGGACATCGATGAGACCATTGATGTAATTGGCACTAAAAACATCATCTATTGATCATAGTTTGCAAATAATGTCACCAATGGTTGAGTATAAAAGTGTCGACTCTAGTGGTAAGTGTTAATCAAAACTCTTATGAAATGAAAACAAATGATTGAATGACTGAACGAAAGGGCGATTCCTTAGCACTCAATGCCTTCTGAATGACTAATAAAAGCTTTACTAAAACTTTTGAAACACTGTGACAGTGAAGACAATCTGCGAACAACTGCCATCACAGACCACGCAATCTCTTCATCTGCTATCATAACTCGCTTCCACTGTATTTGTGGTGTAAATGACTTTCCGATGACGTCTTCAACGTATCCAACCATTAGAGCGCAACCACGACATCCATAACCCCATTGCCTGCACATCCATCTGGTGTCACACCAACCAAACCAACGCTTAAGTCAAGAGTTGAGCGCAAAAAGGGTTAACTGTTGGCCGCTTTCGGCCCTTTAGAGGCTATAGTCTGTCGGGTCTGACACCACGGGGTCAGCGAGAGGTCACAAATCAATTGCACGTTATATACACTGACGGCAGACCTATCGATCATTACTTCGTTGACACTCTTGAGTCGGAACTGCACTGAGTTTAGGCCTGTCTTGCGATCCCTCTTTCGGGTTATCTATGATATGATTGAATTGAATAAAACATTTGCTTTAAAACCCATTAATTTCAACCTCTTTCTGATTGAAGAGACGAATGGTGTCTCTCTTGCGGTGAGTGCTATGGATGTGACGGAATGTGTCATTAATTCCGGTCGTAATTCCTTGTGGTCTTGAGATCTGTTGAGATGAGTGTTTGAATTGATTGCAACAAAATTAAAGTGAAAACTAAAGTAAATCTTACGAAGAGATTCGCTTCTTTGAGTCGGACATAGAATTCGTCGTCTGAAGGGAGAAGACATTGAATGACAAGTCATTAAACACTGTATGAAATGCGAGGAAATGGATATCACTTAGAAGTGGACATACCTTCCAAACCCCAGCCCCAGTAGTTATTAGACATGCCATTGACTTTCTCGAAGTGCTCTCCTCTTATAAGTAGTACTCCTCCGACGAATGTCTTGTAGTGGTATTTGGGATGCAATTGAGGCGAAGACACATGGAATGGTCCGTCGGTTGGGAAGTGATAGGAAAGGTTGGCGTTGAGGGGCAGGAGATCCACGTCATGCATAGCCATGTAATCACATTCAGGTCGGGATATCAAGAAACCCGCTTTTGAATGGATTATAATTATAATGAATAACAATTAGTATCAATACAACTGAATTCAATTCTAAGAGTAACTGTAAGTCATGTAAAGTCAATACAATGGACACAATTGGGTGACAGACTATTATCATTACAATCCATTCCTCATCCAACCCACCGTTTATAAGGGAAGCCCTATTGAATCGGTAGACATCCATCTGATTGATGATATATATCTTGTAATCGATTCCCTGTTTCTTCAGGAATGTCTTCATATGGGGAACAAATGTCAACAACTCGTCAAATCTGTCTCTGAAGGGTACCACAACTGCCAATCGATGGCTAGACGTCTCTGTCGATGACATATCTTTGGCTTTATGGTGAGCATTGTCTTCATTTGGATGGCACTCACAGTCGGATGTGTTGACACTCAAAGAGGTGATGATTGGAGATAATTGCAAAGATATCCAAACCGTTAATATAAGGCTTAAGAGCAGACATATTATTAACACTTTGGCACAACGTTTGCCTCTTAAGCACACATTCATAGCAATCACTCAACTGTTGAACACATTGACAACACTTCCAGCGCTTCCAGTCTTTCAAATGCATTCACTTGTCATCGATTGACAGTTCAGTCACTGTTTGACCAAAACTTACTTCACTTTGAATACAGCACTCAGTCTGACATCTATTGACTGCCAAAGCATTTACTTTCACATCAATGGTCACACAATTCACACCATTTATTATTCATGTCATTAAACATTATTATTAAAGCATTTAACCTGGATCAATTCATTGATAATTGATTTGATTATTTTTGCCATATTATTAGAGTTTATTTCAATTGTTGGATCAATTGGGAGATAATTATGTGGAGAGGGTGTCATTAATTGGTGTGAAGTGTATGTGAATGCAAACCATTCACTCATTCATTGATCCATTCTTTGAGAAAAACATGTTTTGAAAGTGAAGTCAGTTTTTGTGAACGCATTTCAAACGAGATCTTCAGTTGACTGTCACTTCGGATCAGTTGTCTTCACAATCATATAAGCATTGAAATACAGGACTCGTCTCAACCCTAACGCCCACATCAGACATGTCTTTGTGTTGCGCTCTAAGCAATGAAGTGCCGGAAGTGGCGGTTGTGTCCACACAATCGGGTGCCGTCTTCGAGAAGCGCCTGATCTTGAAGTACATCGAAGAACACGGCGTCGACCCCATCGATGGCCAGAAGTTGACGGAAGACATGTTGGTTGAGATAAAGACGCCTGCTATAGTGAAGCCGCGGCCGCCATCGGCGACGAGTATCCCCGCGATCCTGAAGAGTCTTCAGGACGAATGGGACGCAGTTATGCTGCACTCATTCACTCTGAGACAACAGCTCCAGACGGCCCGACAGGAGCTCTCGCACGCCCTCTACCAACACGACGCCGCCTGTCGTGTGATCGCACGGCTCACCAAAGAGGTGACGGCCGCCAGGGAGGCGTTGGCCACACTTAAGCCCAAAGCGGGCGCCTCTCAGACCAACCAAATGAACAATCAGTTCAATGCCGGCGACCAGTTGTCCGAACACATGGAGGAGACGGGCATTACTTCTGAAGTATTGGACAAACTCGAGAACAAGGCGTCAGTCCTAACGGCCGAACGCAAGAGACGCGGCAAAACAGTTCCCGAAGAATTGGCAAAACCAGAGGAATTGCGAGCTTTTAAGACATTGGCGTCTCATTCAGGTCTTCATAGCGTTAGTATTCCTGGGATACTATCGGTTGATATCTGTCCGACCGATACAAATAGGATACTAACCGGTGGTAACGATAAGAACGCGATTGTCTTCAATAAAGACAACGAACAAGTGATTACTTCACTCAAAGGCCACACAAAGAAAGTAACTTCAGTTATATATCATCCAAATCAAGACACTGTCATCACTGCATCGCCTGACAGTCAGATCCGTGTCTGGCATTTGCCGACCGCACAGACCCTTCAAGTGGTCCGCGCACACGACGGCCCCATCACTGCCATCAGTCTTCACGCGACCGGCGATTACGTGTTGAGCACATCAACCGACGAGCACTGGGCCTTCTCTGACCTCCACACCGGGCGTGTGCTCACCAAAGTGGGCGACACGTCTACCCCACACGCCCTGACCACCGCACAGTTCCATCCGGACGGCCTCATCTTCGGCACCGGCACTTCCGACTCACTGATCAAGATATGGGACCTCAAGGAGCGCAGCAATGTGGCCAACTTCCCCGGACACTCGGGATCCATATCCGCGATGTCTTTCTCGGAAAATGGCTACTATTTGGCCACTTCTGCCGACGACTCGGCCATAAAGCTCTGGGATTTGCGAAAACTCAAGAACTTTAAGACAATAGTCTTGGAGGAGAATTATCAGGTGAAGGACCTCTGCTTCGACCAAAGTGGCACTTATTTAGCGGTCGCCGGAACTGATGTCAGGGTTTATATCAGCAAACAGTGGGAGAACTTGAAGACTTTTACCGACCACACGGCGGCCGCAACTGGAGTTCGCTTTGGACACGACTCTCGGTATTTGGTTTCTGTGAGTTTGGATCGTTCTCTTAAGATATACGGCCTCTAAGTGACCGACAATTCCTCTAAACTTTTTTTTTCTAAACTTTATGTATTGATTACTATATGTATCACCACTTTATTGCTTTAAATCTAATTGTATTACAAAAATAGTGAACATTTACTGTATTTCCTATAAATTGATATCATTTTACAAACATTACAATAAATGACATGAAATTAAGTTAGTGTTAAATATTTCGTTGACATCTCTCGAAGTGTTGGAGGAGTTGTTCGTGGAATTGAATGGGGAAATGGATCCGACAATTGGGACATTCGATCAATTCATCCGATTTGTAAATCTCTGAATTCGATTGACTGTTGTTTTGAATTATATTAGTTTTATGTCTGAAATCATTTGGCAGTGAATTTGTTTTGTTTGTCTCCTCTTTGACTCCAACTTTTGTTAGACTAGAGCTCTGTTTCACTCCTTTGTTCGGCAATTGACTCGCGCTTTGGAAGAGCTGAACAAATGTCTGCAATTTCTTCTCATAATCCGAGCAAATAGTGTTCAGTCTATCCTTTTCTGAAGCCATTTGTTTGAGTTGGTTGAGAGCGTTGTCTTTGTCGCGTCGCTCGCACTCGAAGTCCTCTTTATGTACTTTCGCCTGGAATTGAAGCACTTGGATGTGTTCGCTCTCTATTTTACTCAACTCTTCAATCAAATTATCGAAATTAGTTCTCAAGTCTTCCAACTCTTTCTGCAAATTCACGTTCTCTTTCAGAGCGCTTTCATAGCTCTGTTGCAAAAGTGACTGCGAGTTGCCATTGTCTTTGGTCTCACTCTTGTGGACACTCTTTTGTCTTTCATGAACTGATTGACAGTCGCTCTCAGATTCGCTAATCATTCGACTCGATCGCAATTGAAGTCTTTTAATGGTCCGCAAGAGTCGCAAGATATAGTCCTGTCTCTCGACATCATATCTCTGTCTTTTTTGGTCCATTTCATACAACTTGACAAAGAAATTAATTTCTTATTATAAAATAATTCATAGAATTTTATATCAATAGAAACCTCTTTATTGAGTTCTTTTAGGTTTAGGTTTTCTTCCGATAAATCATTATTTTGGGACTTAAGTCGATGGCATTGTTTGCATTCATTTATTTCGCTTTTTTCTGTGCCTTCAAGTTTAGTATCCTTTTGTTTCTATAAAAATTAGAATAGGTTTTCATTAATATAATTATCTTATAAGCAGTTACTGTTGTCTGCAATTTTGTAGTAATCAACCAGGATTCAATTTTGACCAGCATGCAAGATTAGCTTTACTTGTATGCGTTAAGGTCTATAAATATTAAGAATTTAATTTCATCAAACCAATAACTTTATTACAAAACTTTTATTTTCTAATGTGTCTGGGTATTATTATTTATGGAATTTAATAAATTAAATACTAACTAAAGATTCTGATTTTAGTGATTCTTATTGAAGTTTATAGTGAAGCTTATATCTGTGTTTTTTAAACAAATACCCGATTATCGAGTTGTGAGTCGAAAGCATTTTTAATAAACTTATATATTTTACTCGTAAGCAATAGAAATAATATTATTATACAGTATAGTACACCGTTGTTAATAAACATGGAACCCATTTGGGAGGCTTGGCATTTGGACACCTGTACTATTTTTTGATGATTCCTTTCCGATGCTGTAGAGGAAGAGTTAGATTTTTATGGGATATGCAATTTCCCCAGATTATATTTGTAGAAAAACTTTCATTCTCAATTATTTCTCTATTCAATAATCGTTTTCTATGTAATTACTTCTCAAAATAACAAAATATTTTCCATGGTTTTTGAAAAAATCGATTTTAAATGTTTTTCTATAAATATAACCTAGACAAATTATATTAGTAAGAATGGTGTAAAACTCTTTAAAATCTATTTAAATATTAATTCAAGAATTTTTATTTTTGTGGTACTTTTTTTTTATTTATAAAGCAATATTTGATGGTATGTTCACTGATGAGACCTCCTATGGCTATTAAAATCTTCGGAATATTTTAATGAATATAAATTAAGCTCAATTTTCGAAGGTCTCTATAATAGTATTGAACTTATGTTTAGTTTACAAAATAACAATTTACATAAAAACATTTAAAACCTTCAAAATGAATACATTTGAAAAAATTTAGAAATCCTTCAGAGATATGGAGATCCTTGACTAGAATATAATACAAAATGTTTAGATATTGTATGAGAAAATTATAATTATGAAAATGTATATACTAATGTGTATTTTTATTTAATTTTATCTTTTAATGTTTAGTTTCTAATTTAAAATTCACATATAATTAGTTTTATTTATTTTGACAAGTATGTATTTATAATTAATTTTTAAACTATTTAAAACAAACCGAAATGTACTGTTTGCACTGAATACAGTAATTAGTTACACATCGAATGGAAAATCAAATAAAAAACTAACATTTATATTTCACAAATTTAATTATGCAATAAAATGTACTCATATTATAAACAAATTGAACATTTAAAATATCATAAGATTAATTACTACTATTAATGAAATAATGGAAATTTATTTAAACAATTCTATTAAGTGTTATTCTATTAATGTTAAGTATACTTACTTATTTTTAAAACTTATCATTAGGTTGAATGCATTTGAGGGGAAATTAAATGGAAATTATTTTTTCTATTTCTTTGGTTTTTTGTTTCATATTTTAAGGGAAAGAACCAAATCATGCATTAATAGATGATTAATGC